GTTTCAATTATGTAAGTGGGGGTTCAAAGTAAATAGGTAGAGGCATTTAGTTGCACTCATTAACAAAATTAAGATTTAATTACTTAATTAATAAATTTTAATTTGAGATGAAAATTTATTAATTAAATATTTAAATTTAATTTTTGCTAATATATTGGGGGTCTAATTGAATTTTGAGGTACGGTTTGAAAGGTAGCTAAGAGCATCAATATTAAACTAGTTAAAATTTTGTTATATTTTAACTTAAAAGTTACTTTTTTTTATTTTGGTTTTTCATCTTTTTAAATATATTCTGCAACAAACTATATATTATTTAAGTATTATTTTATTCATTTTAATTTGAAATTATGTTTTATAAACTCAACACGATTAGTTCCAAAATATAAAAAGTAATATTATTTTAATGTTTGGCTATGGTAAACTACTAGTTACATTTGTTGAGTCAAAACTATCAAAACTAAAATGGTTAACTTGATAACTAATTTGATAGATGCGAAATTTAGTGATGAGTTGCGTTACATCCCCTAATATATCACCCTATTTTGACCTCTAATGAAATGGAAGAGAGAGAGAATAGAAAGAGATAAAGAGAAGAAGGATGAAAAATGAGTGAGATCCATTCCACATCATTAGGGATGGATTAAGAGTGCTAAAAAATAAAATAAACATAGTGGTGTTTGATAAAAAATAAAAATAAAAATAACTAGTTTGATATTGATACTGTTTATAAATTTCAAAAGACCAATAGTATACATAGTGGTGTTTTGAAAAGTTGGTAAAAAATCGACTTTTTGACTTTTTTAGTCTATTTTGTCTTTTAGTGAGTAAAAAATGTGAGAAGTAATGTGACTTAAAATAGGTAAAAAGTCAAAAGCTGGCTTCTTACCTTCTTGCCAAAGCACATCTCATTTTTTACCTTATTTTCTCATTCCTAGATACAAAGTAATGTATTCATAAATGTATATGAGACTCACTCACTTATAGTTTGGAATGAGAAAATGAGATAAAAATAGATATATGTAACATTTTTCATTCCAAAATAAAAACTACCTTGTTTTTTTTTTTTAGATTAGATATTTAAAACATATCATAGATTAGATATTTAAAACATATCATCGTTTATTTGTGGTTATGTGGTGACCTTCTGAAGGCTCCACATGGCGAGTCCAGATTCCCTCCTTGAGCCCCCTCCTTCATTCCCTCCTTGCAGGGGTCTTCGGGTCCACTTTGAGGCCCAATTTTGATAATCCGAACCGTTCATATTTTTAGATTTATTCAGTATAGTATACCTGTAAAAAATCAAGTTGATCGAATATCAAAAAGTATGTGTTCGGAAAACTGTTTATTAAAAAATAGTTTGTAGTCCCAATTTTCTGAACGGATACTTTCTGATATCCGATCAACTTGATTTTTTACAGGTATACTATACTGAATAAATCTAAAAATATGAACGGTTCGGATTATCAAAACTGGGCTTCAAAGTGGACCCGAAGGCCCCTGCAAGGAGGAAATAAAGGAGGGGCTCAAGGAGGGGATCTGGACTCCTAATACCCGGTGGTTAGGTTTGTAATGTGACATATCAACTTCAACAAAAATACTAATCAATCATCAAAGACTGGTCAGTCATCCATTAAGGGGACAAAAAACAATAAAAAAATAAAAAATAAAAAAGAAAGAAGAAAACATCAACAGACTAGACAAGCATATAGTGGTTGGTGATAATGAAGAGGAATGTTTGGATTGGGATGTTTTGAAAATTTGATTATTTTAATTAATTTTTAATTTTTTTTAATGAAAATATATACAAAAAATATAAGAGAAAGTCTGTTAACTCAGACTTACCCACCTAGAATTTTTTGGATGGGTGATTGTATAGTGAAGATTAATTTGTATAGTGTACGGTTCATGTGGGGTCCATATGAGGTGTGGTGAAAATTAATTTTTAGCTAATTTCTAGATTGATAAGGATGGATTTGTAGTATTACTGGAAAAATAAATAGAAGAGTTGGCTTTTTTATATTAATTTTTTGATTTTTTTTACTAAAATAGCTAATTGTCAAAACAATTTTGTGTATGAATAAAAAGAACCAGGAAGAAAAGAATTAAATTACATTAAGAGTTTATTTGGAAATAAACTTTTAATAAATTTTTTTTAGCTTTTTAGTTAAAATATAACATCGGAAAAATTATAGTGTTTGGAAATAATTTTGACTATTTATGAAAAAAATATACAAAAAATAGAGAGAATGAAGATATATTTGAATTCTTTTTCATAACTTTTTTGGCCTTTTCAATAATTTTTTTGACTATTTTAATTACTTGCCAAATGGATCCTAACTTTCTTTAAATTTAGTAGAATACATTAAGCTCCATAAATTTATTATAATTATATTAACTCCTCTTAAAGTTTTAATTTACATAATATTTAGTCTTTTTTATTAGTAATTATTAATTAACGCTTAGATTTATTTTCATTAGTAATTCATTATATGCATATGTTTGGATAAAAAAAATTATTGCTTTAATTAGTTTAACACTATATTTTACTTTATTTATCCTTATATTTGCATACCATCTATATCAATTTCAATCGTTTCAATCTTAATAAAAAAAAAGTCGATACAATTATGTCAAACTTATAAAAGTTATTATATTTTTCTATACCTCAATGAAGGTCAATATGACCTACCCAAAATGATGGTGCTAAGCGGATCTATAACCACAATATATTCACAAAATTTTTAAGTTAATATGATAATTATAATATTTTCATTTTATCGAGTTTATTTCAAAAGAAATAGATAGTTTATTTTCAAAAATTTACTTGTTGTTCATTTTTTTCAGAGATAAATGTAAAAATGTTATAATTAACAAATCAATCTAATTTTTTCTATGAATTATATATGTTGTCAGTCCTACAAAATAAATAATTTAAATCATTAGGGACAAACTTGCGGTGAACCTTACGAAACCCTCAATTAAGCCCAACCCAAATGATATTAGTATAGTTTTACACTAAACTATATAATTTATCTTGTTTGTTTCTTTTGTCTACTCACCATCTGCCCTAATTTCAATTGTTTTACCCTCATTGAAAAAGGGTTTGATGTAATTATAGTTTGCTTATGAGGTTCACTGTATTTATTCTAAAGAAAATGCTGAACACCGACCCTTAGCTGCATTTGGTTGGATGATTTGGTGTGAGAAATGAAAAGAAAAAAAGAAGTATAATCCTATTTTTATTTGGTTATAATAGAAAATTAAGGGAAAAGAAAGTGAGAGAAAAATGCAATCTCACTTTTTGTCTTTTAAGTTTATTTATGCTCATTTTTTTCTTCTCCATTTTCCAATTCAACCAAATATAGCTTGGAACTCGAATCCGATCAATTATTTCTCATTTTGTCTCTATTTCCCTTTTCTTTTCTATTTTTTTCATCAAATTTTTCAACCAAACATAACCTTAGAATTAAATAATAATAACAATAATGATTATTTTTTTTAAACTAATTTAATCACAAGTCTTATTCTATGAATCCATTAAGTCATAACGAAGATTTTTTGGACTTTCAAGTCTCATTAAATTTTTAATAGTTGAAAGTGTTATTCAAACAATAATTGTTCATCATTTATGATTATTTATAAAGGAACATGATGATTTGACATTTATTTTGATTTTCAAGACTTTAAAATATCAACTTTCAAATTAAAAAACCTAAAAAAAAAAAATATGTGAAAAAAAAACTATGTATTTTTTTTAAAATTGAATTATATTTTTTGTACAAAATTGAAAATTGTGTCTATAAAAGAACATGATGATGGAACATTGATATACAAAACCAAAAAAAAAAAAAAAAAATTTAAAAATGAAAAAACTGAAAATGTTTTATCAACTTTCAAATTAAAAAACCTAAAAAAAAAAAATATGTGAAAAAAAAAACTATGTATTTTTTTTTTAAAATTGAATTATATTTTTTGTACAAAATTGAAAATTGTGTCTATAAAAGAACATGACGATGGAACATTGATATACAAAACCAAAAAAAAAAAAAAAACTTTAAAAAGACTTTAAAAATGAAAAAACTGATAATGTTCTTAGTTTTAAAACTGAAAAAAATTGATAATATTCTCAGTTTTATTAGATAGTTGAATCAAACCAAAAAGTAAAAAGGCAAAAAACGTTTAATCTCATATTTTGTTTTTTTATCAGTTAATGAAACAATTATCTGGAACATTACTGTGTAAAATTAATAATATTCTTAATTTTAAAAATTAAGAAAAACTGATAATATTATCAATTTTACTAAATAAATGCCTATTTTGGGAAGTGGGTTATAATCCACTTCCCAGATTATAACCCACTTCCTCTCTCACAAAAAAGCTGCTTATGGGTTATTTTGGGAAGTTGGTAAAAAGCTGGCTTTTGGCTTTTTACCAAGCTTTTTGGCTTTTTTGGAAGTGATTTGGGAAATTGATAAAAAGCTGGCTTTTTGCTTTTTAGTTTAATATTTATTTATGGTGTCAAATCAAATTAAAATGACCAAAATACCCTTACCCAACATAAGAGATTTATTTATTTATTTTTTTTTCATAGGCCCTAATTTGTAATTTTAGGGTTGCGTTTTTGGCACTTCCCAAAGAGATTTTGTTGCGTTTTTGGCAGTTAACGTGGCTTTTTACTATGTTCCCAAAATGGCACTATAAGCTGCTTATATGGAGCTTTTCACAAAAAAAACTGATTATAACCATCTTCCCAAAATAACTTAATTTAAATTTTTTTGAATAAAATCTAAACTATCATAATATTTATAAATAAAATTTTTAAGTAATTAACTTTGCAATCCAAAACAAAGCCTGACCAAACATCTATTTAAAAGCTTTTTTTCCTACATCAGCCAAATACCAATCAATCCAAAACAAAGCCTGACCAAACATCTATTTAAAAGCTTTTTTTCCTACATCAGCCAAATACCAATCTGCTCTGCATTATTACACGTGTCCAAGTACATCACGCCAAATGTGCGAGTACACAAACAAGAACCTACAGTTATTTTTCATGGACGAAATTAAAATGACAGTTTCAAAAGATGGAAAATAGTTTTTCTACTTTCGAATCTGTTGAATATCCTCCTGTGGTCGTGGCCTCGGCGGCGCTACTGGTTCCGGTGCGGCGGCGCTAGTGGCTTCGACGGCGGTTCGACGGCGGCATTGAAGCTGACCACCACTACCACCACTGTTTCGGAATCAACAAAACAGACAATTTTCTAGTTTTTGCCTTTCTCTCTGATCTAGAAACCCTTTTTGTTTTCTCCGAGACATTGGAAGTGGCTAAAAAAATTAAGAATTGTTTAATTCCGATTCGGATTTCAAATTTTTCGTAGTTTTTTCTTCGGCTACTTCGCCATTCAACAATTGGTGCTTCAATCTTCTCGCATTTTGATTTTTGATTGCTTTGTTTTGTTCTGTTCTGTTCTGTTCTTCGGAGACAGTGGAACGTGCGAGGTTTCGTTTCACTGTCACGCATTGGATCTGAAAATCCTTGAAGATTTCTGGCAAATTTCTTGACATTTTCTTCTGATCTCCGACGAATCGTCTGACCACCGGTATACCAATTTCTCTGTGTTTTTTTAGCATTATTCGTGTTTTTATTTTTTTGAGATATACTCGAAAAATATATGAACTTTTGTTTTAGATTCAAAGATTCTCACTAAAATTCAAAAGTTATGATGATTCATTTTCTTTTTTTGAATGATGAAATAGACGAAAAGGCAATCATGAGTTCTATATGGATGTTGATTGTTATTTATTTTTATGCATTTTTTATCGCATCCATAATCGATTCAAAGTTAATTTCTATTATAACATCTTCACAAGATGTTCTTCGCATTTTGTGCATTTTGGTAACATGTTTGTTCTTTTTTCTAAATGATAAATGGTAGTATTAGTCAAAATATTCCATAATTGATAGAACTGCTTTAAATTTTCAGCAATAATTGAGGAAGTCAACATATCGATTGAGCGGTCCTTTTTCTTTTGTAGACATAAAGCCTTAATCTATAAGGTAAGAGCAGGCAAAGAATTAGCCACTGTTACGTTGCGAATTCATTCAATAATTTAAATGTGTGTTCAAATTTCTCTGCAATTAGATCTGTCATATTATGTGTTGATTCAATTCAAATTACGATGTGTTTAGCTGAAATACATTGAGGGGAAAAACGATTTTTCAATGATAATGCCATTTAAACGCATGTTTCGGGAGCTAAGGGAGATGCGAGAGGGTTCTAAGAATAAGTTGAGAAGGACATCTGAGAAGAAGTGTTTGCATGGTCATGGAAGATCACATGTAGCCCCTGAAATTTCATCATCTCCACTTGAATTGGTTGAAAGGAACAGTTGGGAGAATTTTCCTTCTGAGTTGCTCCTTGATATAATTCAGCGGCTAGAAGCTACCCAGACCTTGTGGCCCGCCAGGAGAGATGTGGTTGCTTGTGCTTCAGTTTGCAGGTCTTGGAGGGAGACAACAAAAGAGGTTGTAAGAACTCTGGAGCAATGTGGGTTGATTACTTTCCCCGTCTCACTGAAGCAGGTTGAAAAAAAAAAAAACTCTCACCTTTCTTTTTCAGTTCTACTTCGTGTCTGCTCTGTATATACTGAATTTGTGTCCTTTGTTGCTTTGTTGCTTCAATCCTTGGTAATCTATCAGCCAGGACCAAGAGATTCTCTAATCCAATGCTTTATAAAAAGGGATAGGGTCACATCAACGTATAGTTTGTACCTCGGCTTGAGTCCAGGTAAATAATGCTATGCTCCTTGTTTGGTTGTCAACTACTTAAATGTGCACAAAGAATTTTATGAGAGTGATGATTAAATATTGGGAATATGTTTGAAAACTTTGAAGTTAACATCTTGAATAAGTGTGACTTCCCTACTTTGTTTCATGTTGTTCTTCTTTTTTACTGATCACTGATTTTTAGATCTCTATTATTGTTAGAGACGCTTGTTTAGTTGTCAAACTTTCTGAACTCATGCTCAAATTAGCAGCTGGATAGAAAGTTTTGAGATATTTTACTTTGTTAGAATTTCCCATCTTTACCTTCACCTACTCCACTACACACTCCACTTCACCTACCTCCACTTCACCACACACTCCACTTCACCTAACCCACTTGATCATATCTGTCTTCTATCTAATTTTTTCTCTTACAACTTTAGATAATAATTAAATACATATATAATACATATTGATGACTTTTACTTAATTACAGCACTATCAGAGGATGTCAGCAAACTGTTGTTGGCAGCAAAAAAGATCAGAAAGGCAACAAGTACAGATTTTCGGATATCCCTGGCAACAAATGATTTCTCTCAATCTAATCATGCATATATTGGGAAATTGAGGTTGCTTCCCAAATCTATTTTTCTGATCTTCGCATCATTTGAATCATTTTTCATTTAATTAATGGGAAAATTCTTTTTATTTTTATATTTATTTTTTAATAGGTCGAACTTTCTTGGTTCCAAGTTCTCTATTTATGATAGCCAGCGTCCGTGTGACCATGCAATCCGATCCAATGGTCAGTCACATCGAAAACGCAATTACAACGTGGCTACCATATCTTATGAGCTCAATGTTCTTCGAACCAAAGGACCAAGGAAAATGTTGTGCACCATGAACTCAATCCCCACCTCTGCAGTTCAGGGAGGGGGCATTGCCCCAACTGTAGCAACATTTGGGAATTTCCTTAATGAGCAATGCTCTCCTTTATCAGTTTCTAAAGGGAAAAACCTTGTTAAATTTGGCTCAAATAGTCTTACTGAACCACTTGAGCCAGTTCATGACACAAGAGATCCGCTGATTTTGAAAAATAAAGCTCCTAGATGGCATGAGCAGTTGCAGTGTTGGTGCCTTAATTTCAAAGGACGTGTCACAGTCGCCTCTGTTAAGAACTTTCAACTGGTGGCAGCTATTGAGCCATGCCAAAATGTTCCAGCCGCTGAACAAGAGAAAGTAATGCTACAGTTTGGAAAGATAGGAAAAGACATTTTTACCATGGATTATCGTTACCCTCTCTCTGCCTTCCAAGCCTTTGCAATCTGTTTAAGCAGCTTTGACACCAAACCGGTTTGTGAATAGCCTTATTATCAAATTCCGATTGTGTGCCATGCTCATGCTTTACTTTTGTATAAGATGGTTCTATATATTTTCTTCAAAGGTGCTCATTTTAGTTTGTATCCTTTTCTATCAGTGCCTTTTAAGTGCAGGCATCAGTTTATGTCATGGCAGTGAGCCATATAATGTATTTTAATTTGCAAATCTGTTTAATTTGCAGAATGACAATTATGCAACATTTCTCTAGAGTTTGTAACTGCGACACTTTTTTCACGTGCAATTTTGAAGGAATTCAATTTTTTAGTCACAAAGGGATTTTGCGCTAGTATATTTGATATTGACTAAAATGGAAGTTCTATAGAACCGGTATTAGACTAGCGATGTTGTATGGGTCGGAGGGCAACTGAGAAACAACATGTAGATAAGATAAGTGTTGCTGAGATGAGAATGCTAAAATAGATGTGTGGTAAGACTAGAAAAGATACAATTAAGAATGAGTATATTTGAGAATGGGTAGAAGTAGTACTGATAGAAGATAAGTTGAGAGAGAATAGATTGAGATGATTTGGTCATATACAACGAAGTCCAACAGAGGCAGTAGTGAAGATATGTGATATAGTGACGGTAGATGGAAGTGTTAGGAGAAGGAGCAGACCTAAATTGATGTGAGCTAGTTTAGTAAATAGAGATATGAATCTCCTTAATTTGACTAATGAAATAGTTTTGGATAGAGTCGAGTAGAGAAGAAGGATTCATGTAGCCGACTCTATTTGATGAGACTTAAGATTTGGTTTGGTTTGGTTTGGTTTATATTTGATATTGACTGTTGTGGATGCACTATTCCACATCGCTCTATAAGAGATCACAGCTCCACTACATAAGTGGACTAACACCCTTACACCAGTATGAGGCTTTTTAAAGCCGTGAGGGGTGAGCTGCTGGTTTTCGCCTAACTCCAAAGAGGACAATATCGTGCTAGTCTGGGAGGGTTAGCCGCTTCATTTGGCGCCGTCTGTGAGAACTCCCTGTTCAGGCAGCTAGTCCACTTGGAAGTTATGTGGGTGAACTATCCCACATCGCTCTTTGAGAGATCACATCTCTACTACATAAGTGGACTAACTCTCTTAGACTATTATGAGGTCTTTTAAAGCCGTGAGGGGTTAACTGTTGGTTTTCGCCTAACTTCAAAGCGGACAATATCGTGCTAGTCGGGGAGGGTTGGCTGCTTCAAATGCAAATTGTATTACAATGTATGTCTTTATTCACAAATGTCAAATGATTTGCAGCAGTAGGATACCGTAAAATCATAATTTTTTGATGAGATATATGTAGCATCCGTACTATGAATTAATTGTACAATTGTTCTTGTTATTTACACAAATATTTAATAGCTGTTGGCATACTAGTGTCATGTATTACAATACTCATCTTACTAACTTTACTTTTCTCCTTGCAGACGTAGTGGCAACAATGACATTGAGTCTTTGCAGGGTTATCTGGGCTCGAGTCTCATGGTTCTATAAAAGGCCTCTCAAGCATCTTCTTCTGAACGTGGGCTTGTAAGTAAGCTTCTGTGCAGGTGTAACACTGAATTCAGCCTTGTGGGTATTCTTTTAGTTGCCTAGACAGGTTTTGTCAGGTTGCGAGAGAAAACATGATGTACATAAGGATTCCTTTCAGTAATGGTTCTGTTTAACAGAATACAGTTACGGATACCTTGTATATTTCCATTTGTATATGCATTTAACCTTCTTCCCAAGCTTCCCCATCCATCAGTGCTGACTTCAGTGTTCCTGACTGGATTGACCAGGATTCTTTTCGGTAATGGAACTGTGTAACAGGATAGAGTTATTGATACCCTGTACATTTCCATTTATATATGCTTTTTCTGCCTGATCTTCTTCAGTGCTTGAATCTTCTGAACCTTCTTCTCCATCAGAGGTAACTTCAGTGTTCTCATATGGTTTGATCATATATCCCACGTGGATGTGGATTGCCCCTTCTTTTTCTGTGGACTCAGCACCTAGTTGCATGGATGCTCCTCTATTTTCACCAGCTAGGGTTATGACAGTAACTGGTTTCTTTTCCATTGGAAACTTTGGGTGTTGAGTAGCTATCTTATGAACAAACTTTGAAATGTCACCCCTAATCTCTTTGAGCAGGGGGCCTCGTTTTCCATTGGATATGGTGGGTTCATTGCAAGATTCACCAATCTCTTCTGATTTTGCATCTGATTCTTGGAGGGTTTTAGGTTCAGGACTAACAGGAGAAGAATCTGATTTCTGGGTTGGGCCCATTGTCTCCAGAGTTGCTGTAGAAGTTGGTGCTGCTACTGCTGGAGTGAATGATGCTTCTGAAGACTGTTTTGGCATCTCATTAGGCTGAATGATCATTTGACTTGATGCATGGTTCTGGGAGTTCAGAACATTCTCAGATGTCCTTTCTTCCTTTGGTTGTGATTCTTGTGACTCTGGTTGATACTTTGTGGGCTTTTGTTCTTCTTCTCCATCTCTCAAAGCTGCAGGGATTGATGCTTCTGAAGGCTGTTTTGGCATCCCATTGGGATGAATGATTGTTTGACCTGGTGCATGGTTCTGAGAGTTCAAAACATTACCAGAAGTCCTTTCTTCCTTTGGATGCAACTCTTGTAACTCTGGTTGAGACTTTGCAGGCTTTTGTTCTTCTTCTGCATCTCTCGCAGCAGTGGGGATTGATGCTTCCGAAGGCACTTTTGGCATGGGATAAATGGTTGTTTGAACATTATCAGATTTCCTTTCTTCCTTTGGATGCAACTCTCGTGACTCTGGCTGAGACTTTGCGGCCTTTTGTTCTTCTTCTCCATCTCTCGCAACTAAGGGAACTGATGCTGCTGAAGGTTTTGGCATCCCATTAGGTTGAATGGTTGTTGGACTTGGTTCTTGGTTCTGTGAGTTTAGAACATTATCAGATGTCCTTTCTTCCTTTGGATGCAACTCTTGTGACTCTGGCTGAGACCTTGCTGAATTTTGTTCTTCTTTTCCATCTCTCACAACTGTAGGGGCTGATGCTTCTGAAGGCTGTTTTGGCATCCCATTGGGATCAGTGTTTGTTTGATTTGGTGCGTAGTTTTGGGAGTTGAAAACATTATCAGGTGTCCTTTCTTCATTTGCCCGTGACTCTGGTTCAGACCTTGCTAGATTTTGTTCTTCTTCTCCATCTCTCACAGCTACAAGGGGTGATGCATCTGAAGGCTGTTTTGGCATTTGTGTTTGACCTGGTGCGTGGTTGTGGGAGTTCAGAACATTATCAGATGTCTGTCCTTCCTTTGTATGCAACTCTTGTGACTCTGGCTGAGACCTTGCTGGCTTTTGTTCTTCTTCATCATCTATCACAGCTGCAGGGACTAATGCTTTGGGATGAAAGGTTGTTTGATTTGGTGTGTGGTTGTGGGAGATCAGAACATTCTCAGATGTCATTTCTTCCTTTGGATGCAACTCTTGTGACTCTATTTGAGACCTTGCCGGCTTTTGTTCTTCCTCTTGATAGAGAGGCAGCAGAGGCTCAGTGGAACTGGAAGGAGGTTGAGAGTCCTTTTGAATTGTGTGTTGTAATTTTTCTGGTGAAAGTGGTGGTTGTGTCACTGCTCCTTCTATTAATTGTGCTTGAGTGGATGTGAGAGATGGCAAAGAAGGCAGTGAGGATGTCTGAACTGCAGGCTGAGGCAGCAATGTGGGTAGGGATTTAGGCTGTGCTGCTTGTAATGATGGTTGAGTCTCAGAAGCCATATGAGACAGTGATGAGGGCTGAGGGGTAGCCCGAGGTTGAGGGGTTACACGAGATGGTGACAGGGGTTGAGTGGAAGCTCGGAATTCTGTTGCTGCATGTGCTGGTGATGGGGGTTGAGAGGCATGCTCAGATTGTGTTGCTGCATGAGATGGTGATTCTGGTTGAGAAGTGACTTGGGATTGAGTTGTTGCACTTGATGGTAAAGGCGATTGAGACTCGGTTCTTGATGATGCTTGAGCTTGTCTGGCCTGTGTTGGGCTTAACCCTGGAACCATAGAAGGTGGACTATGAGTAGGTTTTGTGGTAGCGGTCTGGATTTGGATTTCAGTTTCAGCAGTAGGGAGTTGTGGTGGGCGAGGGCCTGGTGTTGCTGGTAGCCAAGGGATTGGAATGCCAAAGATCTTCTTCTTTTTGGCCATAGATAATACAGAAAATGATGACTGGATGTGCTTTGATAATGATATCCAACATTTGACAAGAAGTGCATATAAATAGGTTTTGTTTGATACCTTGGAATGTTTTCAGGACACTTATATTGTTTGTCTTCTTATATTCACTGGTTGATTCTTTGCCTCCCTGGGACTTCTGCCAGTTTTGAGACGTGGGATTCTATATTACTCCAACTTTCCCTCACTGACAGGTCTAGCATCTTGTTTCAATCCGCTTTGCATTTCTACTTTCTGCTTTTGCATTCCAATTCTTGAACGTTGATGTCTAGCTGTGTATTGAACTTGGTAACAATGAGGAATCTGTATGTACTTTTCTACTCCAATAGGCATTCCAAGCATATGTTAATGTGAATTTAGCTTTGTTTAAGAACAGGTTCCCCTCCCTTTGCCCATTGCTTTCCAAATTATACATGAAACTCTTGAAGCAACTTGTGGGTGATTAAAGCTATTTTACACATCATGTCCACCTAAAGAAGCAACTTACCGGGAATGAAAAGAACACCCTAAAATGCATTTTGACAAGCAAGCAATGGAGGCAAGAATCAAGATATTCTTTTCAGCTGTGTTTGGTTGAGAGATTTAGGGAGGGATCTAGAAATGGAAAGAGAAAAAGGTGTGTGAAACTTATGTTACCTAGAATGTGGATCGTTCAAATATGAGAAACGGGAACAGGAATATGGTGCGCCATACGCTCTAAAATGTGATACGATAGGGGTGGACTTGTATATATAATATACTTGCGAATTTAAGGCACTTTTAGAGTAATTTTCTTTTAACTATTAGGCATCTAATAAAATTTAGTTTTTCTTCTTCATGTAGCAAAACATTTCTATGGGTATTATGACCCATTTTTTATGTTTTGTCTTGTCAAAACTTAACTTAGTTTAGATTTTAATTCATTATATTTGATTTTTTTCCTCCTAAGGAAACATTTAAGGAAATTTATTGGAAAAACTTTTGGGATCATTTCAGATCGCTAAATTTACTATTTTGGAACGGAAGTGTACCATATTTTGGATCCTGCGTACCAACACGTAATTCGTTAGGGTATTAGCGTTTTTTGGTAACATAGTGTGAAATTAGGTAAAATGTAAGTATATTTGATTCACATTTCACTTTTTTTTTTTTTCCTTTTCCCTTTCTAAATTCCTTGCCGAATCTCCCAACGAAACACATCATTAGTCTCCTTTGGATTGCCACCAGTGGAAGCAGGACATATCTTCAGCTTCAAGAGAGCTTCCATTCAGCTCCAAGCTCAACCTCTAATCTAATTACAAGGTATGTTTGTTGTAGTACTATTTTTGTTGCATTATATATATTTTTTCTTTTCTTTTCTTGATTTGCTAACTAGTGCCCTTAAGGCACAAAACATAAAAAATAAAAACAGTAGACTTTTTTCACAAATTTAGACATTCTTTTTATTGATTTCAAACTGATTATAATATTTTTCATCTATTCCAATAAACTTTTCACAAATTTCAACACTTTTTTCACCCCAATTACCCTTTCATTAACCCTTTCTTTTTTTTTGCCCTTTTAAATTGTCATCTTTGTTTTTAACTTTACCCTCGTATCTTTATGCACATATTGCTTTCTTCCTATGGAGTTGGCAGACTCAGAAAATCTGTGCTTTTGTGCACTAGTGTTCTAATATAAAGATTCTGAAGTCATTTCCCAAAAACCAAAACAGGAGATCAATTCATATTCATTGCTTAAATCTAATAGAAAACTCTTATGAATGGTGAGAGTTGTTTATAGCATTCTTTTGTTTCAGTTGACAGGGTAAAAATGCAAGGATTTGTCCGGGCAGTACGGTCTTGCCAAGAAACACTCAAGCTTGCAACTCTAAAACATTCACTTGTAAGGGATACAACTGAGATGAAGAAAATATTCTCATGATGTAGGCATGTCACCTCCTCTCCTGTTATGCATCAGAAGGGTTTGCAGAACACGACAGTGGCAGATGTGTTGATTAATTTTGATCAAAATTCATAGGGATTCATTGAACGAATTTGTCATACTCCAATACATAAAAATCGTTAAAATGTGGAAATTTTAATTCAAATGACCTCAAAATATATACTACAATTAAACTTCGCATGTTCACCTTCATTTCATCAATACAGGGAAAACCGGAATAAGTAATGCAAATGTACACTACGAGCAACTCTCATATACCAGCTAACACAAGTGAAGTGCTTTCGTAGTACTCACTACATATAAACCTTGAAGGTCAGCCTTTGATTGTTTGTTTGTCTGTTCTTTTAATTTATTTATTTATATTTATTTTTGGCCCGTATAAAACGAGTATAAATGATTGAGACAAAAAGCTTAGTTTGGTTTATAAAACGAGTATATGATAAGAAATTTGAAATATGCTTACGTAAAAGTAGGAAAATTTTATGATACACATTCTCAAAAGGTATATCACATGCATCTTATTATGTATTTTTATGATTCATATTACGCATTTTTGTGGTAATCCTTACATAGTTTTTGAGAAAATTATGATATTTTATGGTTGAAAATTAAAGTCAAGTATTTTTATGGTAATGTTACATACATATTTTTGTGCCAATATTAAACATTTTGTGCTTAGAAAATGTTTGAATAAAAAATATATGTAACATTACCATAAAACTATAAATTCTCGTAATTCTACTAAAATATTTCATAATATATACTATAAAAATACAAAATAAGAGTGTATATGCGTATTAGGTTGAGGGATGTGTAGGGCATACCCCTAAAAACAATAGGCTATATCAAATATGGCCGAAGTCTTCAAAAGGGGCCATTGCATTTCTGCTTCTTGATGACTGCAGATACCTGGTGGACGGCAGGCTCGAGAAGTTTTGCAATTTCTTCAGCAATCCAGTGAGAAGCCTCAGCCATTGGGCTTACGTGTCCATAAGAAACTAAAACATAAACTAAAACGAAATGAAAATTTAGTTACGTAGATAATCCCATCAATTAGAAATATAGGGTAAATTACATCGATAATTCTTAAATTTTGTTCCTCTTTTAATTAATTTAATTTTAATTTTAATTTTTAAATTTTATATTAATTTGGTCTAAATTAATAACGCATTTTTGAAAGAAAATGATCACTTAACACGCCATTTATGTGTGCATTTTCTATCAAAAAACATGAATAATTGTCATCAATTGGATCAAATTGAGACAAAATTATAAATTCATTGTCAAAGTTGAACCAATTAAAATTATAGATATCAAAATGACTCAAGAATAAAAATATAAAGATTATTGGCATAATTTGTCTAAAAATATAATATCCGAACTACAATACCTAAAAAGGATTTAAAGGACCTTTCCAACAATATGGAAGGTTTTTTAAAACAACCAAAAATAAACACTTTTATTTTGAAAATTTCCAAAAATATGTGTAACCCTTGTTTGTCAGTAGGCATGCAATTTGGGTGGGTTCAATCCGAACCCAATTTGAATATTGGGCAAAATATTTTTGAAGTTGATGTGGTTTGGACAAAAATTCAAAAGTTCGAATTAAATTTAGACAAGTTTGAGGAAAGATGTCAAACAACTCAAAACTCAAGTTATATATATAAATAAAAAAAATAAATAAATAAAATGCATATAAATTAGAGAAAATTGATGAAAATTCTGATTTAAAGAGGGTATAAGGCATTAGATCCAAAGTATGGTGATAAGGATATGCTGAAGGAAAATGCTATGGATCTCAAATAATTGTGAGGATCTCATACCAATGTGAGAGGTTTGGTAAAAAATTTAATAGATTATTTGGGATCCCATAACTCTATGCCGAAAAAGGCACCGATACAAAAGATAAGTAGTTTGGTGAATTTCAACAAATAAGAAATAGGTAGTTTGGAGAAATGTGTGATATTCAATAGATAAATTATTGAATGAGTGACATATGTCACATTTTAACAGATAGGTAGTTTGGTGAATTTCAACAAATAGAAAATAGGCTTGGCGAATTTTGACAGATAGACAAGTTGGGTGATTTTAAGAGATAGACAGACAGAATAATTTCAACAAATAGTTGTCATTTAGACAAATTGTTTCCTTTGGCTCAAAGATATTAGAGCTTGGGCCTAATAACTCCAACGATTAAGAAATGAACTTATGGCCTCAGTGCCTATAAATTATTAGTTATTGAATGATATTAAAATAATTTAGATAGTTAGATCCTATTAAATATGTTATATACATAAGGAATACAACATAAAAGTCTTATCTATTTCTTTTCACTCAAAAATTGTAAAGACCGTGGTACATTGATTTTTTCAATTCTTATCTCTCATATTATATAAATTATTTATTTTGATATTAATAATGATTATATATATAGAGACAGAGTTTAATTTTAACAAATTAATTAACTTAGTTGCACTAAAAAAATAAATAAAATGACTAACTCGGGTAATTTGAGCCTAACTCGGGTCATATTTGGATAGATAATCTCAAGCTACAATTTGAATTTGGGTGGGCCTGGACAGCTTTTAACATAACTCGGGTTAGATTTAGACAATCTCTCAACTAGTCTGATCCCGCCTGAATTCAAATCTATCATTAACCCTAGTTAATGATTTGCACTAAGGAGCATATACAAATAATTTAGCAACACTTGGTTTACAGAGAACACAATTATAAATAAATTGGCAATTTCTGTGAAACCACAAGAAACTAGAAGAGAGGAGGAAACATGTCAAGAAAATGTATTATTCTCACATGTTTGGGTCATCAGGAAACACAATGGTAATTGCATTCCAAACAATGAAATTCAATGATATAGATAAGGAAAGCTATAGGCTTGTAATTGTCGATGTTGAAATCATCCTAAAAATTATATTACAAATTTACAATACAAACAAATTGAAAAACAACCAATGAGTTTGCTTCTGAAACTAACCTATTTCAAAATGTTGTAAAATAGATAGAATGCAAGTCGTTAGCATATGAATATA